TTCAGTGACTGGGATAATTGGGATGGGAGTGTCAGAAACAGTGCGATTGGCACAGGACAGTGCGGAGTTTAGGGCTGTTGTACATAGGGTCACTATGAGTCGCAGGTGACTCGACGGCACATAACAACAACAACAACATGCTATTACTAGAGAGCTCTGGTGGTTATAGGTAAGTTACCAACACAAAGGCATAAAGTTCAAATCCACCAGGTGCTGCTGTTGTTTTTGTTGTTGATTGCCTTTTGAGTTGAGCACGGCTCATAGCAACTCTTTGAACAAAAGGCCTGAGGCCCCTCTACAACTATCAACATTTATCAACGTTTATAGAGTTTCTGGAAGCATGTTATTTAGGAAGCAGATGCCACTCCTGCTTTAATTGATAAAATGTAAATTGCCTAAAATTTAGGTCTTTCCTAGTAGATTCCACTCCTGCTTCAATTAATAAAATGTAAATTGCCTAAAATTTGCATCTTTTCTATTTCCTTTTACTTTGTGCTATGCTTTTAATTTTGAAGGTTTGTAAAGTGTTCAATGACCTTCAAAGCAATATATAATGAACCAAAAGATAATTTGAGGACACAGGAGTCCTCAAACATTTCGTGCTTTAATAATGGAATCTGTTACAAATCTGTCAATAGCATATATGAGGAAGTTCGTCATTTGGTCTTTGAAAGTATATTTAACCTCTGAGTCATAAGTGAGTGAGTGTTCACCCATGAGTCAGGTCATTGCTGATATACATCAAACATGTACTTTTGTGGTATTTAAATTTATTTTTCCTTGCTTATAGGCTGCTGTTCCTCAGAACTTTGGGAGTGAGCAGATTGAAGTGGGTACCAGGCAAAACTCCAGAACACTGCCTTCAGACTCTGGGATTTATGACAGTGATCCTTGGTTCAGGACACAGGAGGAACCTGGGGTTTCTTGTAAGCCATCTGTGGAGGCAAGAAACAAGAACGTTGTTTATGCTTCCCTGAACCATTCTGTCACTAACACAAACCCAAGACAAACAAGAGAGGTGAAAGAAACACCTACAGAATACGCAGTCATATGTGTGAGGAGTTAACCAGGATCCTGGCCTCTGTGCTTCATCATTGAATGTCTCCATGTCAGCACCATCATCTTGGCACAAGAGAATGTGAAATAAAGGTCCTCAGCTTGAGAGTTTTCATATAAAGGAGATTTATGTTGGTGCTTGGATCTTAAGGATCTAGATGAAAATGACTAAAATGTCTCCTGAGAACTCCTTGTGAGGTTTTTTAAAAAATTAATATTATAACCTTCATTAACCAAATTGACTCTAAACGTGAAGAGGTGTCTGACTAGCAGAATGTTGGAGCATTTCAACTCAGCTACATTTTACTCAGTGTAAAACTTCAGTTTTTTTTCTTTGGAGCTACCAAAAAGATAGGTAGGAGGGAGCTTTGTTGGCCTAGTCAGAAGATTTGCTACAATCCTAGCAAGATAGGCAGAGAAGAAAAAGTTGATGTTCTCTTGATCAGCTCACTGTTTTTGCTGCTGTTAGGTGTCGTTGAGTCAAGTATGAATGATTCATAGAGACTAAGCAGTCCCTGTGAACCCTGCCCTATATCACCTCTGACACACTGGAGCCATTGCTGAAATCACCATGTCTGTGCATTTTGATAGGGGTCTTCCTTTCCTTCACTGACCCCCCATCTTTACAAGCATGATGTTGCTTTCCAAGGAATAGTCTCACCTACCTACATGTCCAAAGTATGAAAGACAGGCTTTGTCATCTTTGACTCCAAGGATTGCACTTTTCCCAAGACATATCTGTTTGTTTTTTTGGAAGTCCATGAGATCTTCAGAAGTCTTTTCCAGGACCACAACAAAAAGGCATCAATTCTTCTTCTGTCATCCTTATTCATTGTCTTGCTCTGTGACGCATAGCAAATGGTTGAAGAAACCATGACCTGAATCAGGGAAATTTTAGTCTTCAAACTGACATCATTGCTCTTCGGCATTTTGGAGAGGTCTCTGATAGCAAACTTGCCCAATGTAACACATCTGATTTCTTAACTGCTGGTACCAAGGGGTTTGACTTTTGGTCCAAGCAAGATGAAATAATTGACAGCTTCAGTCTTTTCTCCATCATCATAATGTTAACTATTAGTCTGGTGGTGAGGACTTTCATTTTCTTAATGTTGAGATGCAATCCATACTCAAGGTCTTTGATCTTCTGCAGCAAACTTTTTATATCGGACTCATTTTCAGCAAGTAATACACAATCTGCACAACACATATTATTGATGAGTCTTCCTTCAATCTTAATGCCACATCTTTCCTCATAGCTTCATGAATTATTTATTCAGCATACAGGCTGAATACATATGTAGAAAGGATACAACCCTGATGCACATCCTTTCTGATTTTAAACTATGAACTGTTCTCTTGCTCTGTTTGGACAATTGCTTCTTGGTCTAGGTATAGATTTTGTATTAGCACAATTAAGTGTTATGGAATCCGTATTCTTCTCAATAATAGCCATAATTTGTTATCATCCATACAGCTCACTACAAACTCTTCAAGAAGAATGTCCCATTCTAATCAGCCGAGCTAAAGTACAACATGATTGTGTATTTATTTCCAGTCAGTGTTCAACAATGGGAAGTTTTTCTACATCAATTTAAGATGAGGGTTTCATAAGGGTAAAATATTTTATATTTCATTATATAAGGAAAAACTAAGTGGTACCATAAAGCTATATACAGTACAACAAGTTATCGAGTGGATATTCTCCTGTAAATAAGCCTAAAAAACAAACAAAGAAACAAAACAAACACCTAAAAACAATATTCAATTCCAAGCACATTCGGGTATTAAAGGAGCCATTAATATATGATAAGTTTTATGGGTAAAGTAGTAGCTTCATTTTGGAGTCATGCAGATTAATGTATATGAATATGCTATAATGTGGCTGAATATGTGTGCCAGTGTCTGAAACCTTAAAAAAAATCAGTGAAGCAAAGCATGGTAAGGAAAATGCAGATTGGTGGTTTAAACCACTTCTTGCATTAAAAGTACAGTTAAAGGAATGGAGAAAGATATGGAATATATTGTTGGTTAATATGGGTCAATAAGTTTTCTTTCAACACATATTTCACTTCCTGGTCTCATCAAGGAGTTAGGGCAAATGAAAAATGATGCATAATGATGTTGCAGCCACTTGAGAGTATAGCAAGAACAGATGGCTTCAGATGTTTTGATTTCCATGGAATACTTGAATCTCATTATTTTTAAAGTAGCTTACAACTTTATGAAATAACTTGGGGCTATTAGAGTTCTCAATGCCTCCGCTACCAAATAATGCAATAAGCCTCATAAAAAAATCAACAGTAAAGGGTAGGTAGGGTCCAAATATATGCCTAAATTATGGGGTGTGTGTAAAGGAGAGGTAGGTCACTTAAAGAAATGGTGGTGGGGGGAAATAAAAGAAAATGACCAGAGTGACAACCTATTTTTCAGTTTTCTAAAGAAGATCTTAACTTAGTGTATCTCAAATTCATTGCTATTGGTGCAAATCCATAGTGACACACCTCTAGGTGCCTGAGGCTATAAATCCTAAAGGAAGGAGGCTGCCCAATTTTCCTCCTGCAGAGAAGCTGGTGGATTTAAACCACTGGCCACAAACAGCCTTTTGATTAGCATCAACCCACACTCCAGGGTATGTGACCAGGAGTCCTAAAGAAAACTATTCTACCAAAGCTCCTTAAGAAAACAGCGTATGTAGCTACAGGGTGAGGCATGGGAGTAGCGTACACAAACACACACACACACACACACACACACACGCGCAAAATAGGAAAAAACAGATTAGAAAACACAACGGTGAGTTTGTGGGTTTTTTTCCTTGTGTGACATTGGTATAACAGTTCAGCCCTTGGAGTTGAGGTTATAGATGTTACTTAAGAGGATTGTTTTGGTCAAAATTGCAAGAAACCAATTTTAAGTAGACTTGTTAAACCAAGCTCCACTTATGGGCAATATATGCAAAAGATATACTAGACGAGCTTCCTGTGCTGTTCTTAAAATTAGAAACAGGAAATATGAGGACTTGCATCTACTTATCAGATAAACACACTCAGTCAAGCAGTTCCTTCACAATTCTTTTCAACTTAAAACCATTATTTAAGCGATTGTTATGTAAAATATTCTTAACAGACCTACTAAAGATCTCGGTAGAATTATTTCACCTTGGTAATGAATTAAATTTATATTTATATCTGTGATGGTTCATATTGTGTGTCCATATAGTCATGATCCACAGTATAATGTGTTACATGTGTTGTAAATTCTCACTTCTATGATGTTAATAAGGCAAGACTACAAGCAGGTTTAAAAAGATATGATTAACCTTATCTGATTTCTTTAGTGGTATAGTCTTCATTGTATTTATGATTGGGCTTTGGTAAACTCTAGGGAGCTTTATGTCAAATCTCCATCTGACTTATGGTCTCCAGACTTAAACCAGTGGCCTGCTGTACTTTTGGATTTTGGGTTACAGCCATCTGTAACTCTTCTTCCCAGTAATGACTTCAGATAACTTATTAGCCTTTGATGCCAGCCATCTCCAAATCCAGTAGGCTGAGACCCTACATGTCTGCTAAAGATTTGGATTATGTCTCTCCAGACATTTCTATCTTACAGTCTGACATGTAGCATTGAGACTTGCCTCTACATGCAAGTGAGGCATTTCTTTGAAATAAATCCTTCTAATTTTCTCTCATTCTCTCTCTCTCACACACATTCTCTCTCTCTCTCTCTCTCTCTGTATGACAGGAGAATTGATGCCTTTGAGCTGTGGTATTGGAGAAGAATGCTAAGAAAATGAACAGGCACAACCTAGAGAAGGTTAAACCAGGCTGCTAACTGGAGGCAAGGATTCTGAAGCTTCGTCTGACATACTTTGGACATGTTTCAAGGAGAGACCAATCCTTGGAAATTAATTGATTCAGTGTCTGGGGTATTTGCGGTAGGTGTGTTGAAGACAGTGAGTTTGGCACAGGATAGAGCAAGGTTTAGTTGCAAAGGCAACTCGACAGCACATAACAACAACAACATATATATTTATAACATGTTTAATATATTGCTTTTGTTGTTATGTGCCACTGAGGCACTTGCAACTCACTGACCCTATATATAGTAGTTCTGAACTCTGTTCTATCCTGAGTCAGTATATATATTATGTTGTTGTTATGTGCCATCCAGTTGCCCGCAACTCATAGCAACCATATGTATGACAGCTCTGAAGCTTGCCCTGTCCGGAGCTAGTCTCACTGACTCCAAAACATCTACCCCCGTTGCCCTCGTTATTGTATCAATCCATCTCACCTGGGATTTTTCTCTCCTGTGCTGTCCCTCCACCCTTCCAAGCATGGTATCCTTCTCCTAGGATCAGTCCCTCCCTCCTGGACACATGCCTAAAGTATGTGAAACAGAGCTTCAATTTTCTAGCCTCCAAGGAGAAACTTGGTTTCACCCTCTCCAAGACAGATCTATTTGTTTTCTTGACATTCCGTGATATGTTCAAGACTTTTCTCCAGTACCACAACTCAAAAGCATCAATTTCTTCTGTCATCTTGAGTCATTGTCCAGCTCTCTGATGCATAGAAAGTAATTGCAAAGACCATGCATGGGTTGGATCAGGCACACTTTTGTCTCTAGTCTAGGTACTCTAGACAGGTCCATGACAGAGATTTACCTAATGCAATGAATCTTTTGATTTCCTGACTGCTGTGCCAAGAGTATTGATAGTGGTGCCTAGCAAGCTGTAATTGTTAACTACCTCTCTTCTGCGTCTATCATGGTGCTCCCTCCAATTGGCCCAGTGCTGAGAATCTTTGTCTTCTTGATGTTTAGCTTCACTCCATATTGAAGACTATAGTCCTTTACCTTCTGTAGCAAGCATTTCAGGTTCTCCTAAATTTCAGTAAGCATAACATAGATTGTTGATGAATCTCTCTTCAATCCTGATGCCACATTCCTTCTTAAAGCCCAGTTTCCCGAATGATCTGTTCTGCATGTAGACTGAAAAGGTATGGAGAC